CCTTCCTATGGCAGGATGCATTTGAAAACAAAGTCTGGGCCACAACTCCTTGCCCTATTTATTTGTGAAGAATATGCCTGAATGTCACAAGATTGCAGGGATAGCAGAAATATCTTGCTAGCCTCCCAAATATTGTTTAATTAAATTGTTAAAATTGGATCGTTTGCTGATCCTTAAAATTAGTAAAAACAGTACATTCTGGCATGAGGTACACCATATCAATAGTTGACTTCCAGTGGGACAATGGTGGCTTAATCAACTCTCCATGAGAGGGGAGACGGCACCACAGCTGGATCAGTGGCCAGCAGCAAGCACTGGCCGCCCAACTTGCTCCGGATCAAGGAGGAAGCGATAAATAAACCCATTTGGTCTCCGGGACAGCTGTTCCTCATAAACTAGTTGCAGAAATGGAAGCTTCTGCAAATGGCTTGCGAGTGAGCGGCTGGGAGGCGGGGATCCATCTTTGTTCACAGTTGTGGTGCAGCCTTAATACAGACACTAGAGCTGGTTGAGCCCCATTTCGAAATCACTTTGGAACATAACTGTTTTTCAACTTGAGAGAGACCTTCCTTTGCAACAGATAAGTAATTCTCTTGGTGTTTTTTCATTATTTCTGGGACTATAATTTTAAAGGAAGAATTAAGATTTTTATTTAATTTGAGCAATTCACAAAAAGCTGGAAGATAAGGAGAATACAGAAAAGATATAAAAGTTACTTATGGTAAAAGGGGAAGATTTGTTAAAAGTTTAATTTTACAAAACTCCATCTGTATTAATTGGATTTGATTTTTCTATGGGATTTTTGTTGTTGTTTTTCTGTGATATGCTTGTTGATTGGCTGAATTTTCAAGACAGAAGAAAGTAATTTGAGCTCTTTGTGTATTTTTGGCTGGCGCATGCCTGCAGTTACACCATGAAAGGTGCCAGAGGGCTTGAACCGTCTGCTTACTTTCACCTATACAATACTTAGGTTGTTTTGCGGGGAAGGAAAAAAATGTCTAGAAGACGCCTGTTGGAGCAGGTGTTGGAAGATAAAATGACTCCTTTAAGTTTACTTCAATCAGTGTTTGATGAATTAGGAGCTAAATTCAAGTCCTTTGAAAAAAAGGTAGAGGAAAAAGTGGATAAGATGGTTAATTTTGTGATGGAGGTGGAGACTGACTTGAATGTGGAATTTGGTTAAAGTTAGCAAGTTATATTTCCCAATATAAATGAAATATTCTGTTAGACCAAAGGTTTTGCTCAGCAAGTCTAATGATTTTGAATCCATAAAACATGTATTATACTACTGAAAATTTTGGAAAGCTAAAGAAACTTTTCTGAAAGATGACCAGCTTTTAATTCTTTGCTTGGATGGGTCTAGCTTAGAGACTACTATGTAAACTCCTGCCATTTTAAACGTCACTAATAGAATACCACAGATCATACATTTTTTACTACATCTTTACCTGTACTTGTTATTTTCTGTTTTAATTAATAAACAAGGGATTAATTACTACTACTTTCATACTTTTTTGGGACTAGCCAAAAGAATGACTATTTTGGAAGGATAAATCTGCATAGGAGCAAGGTGGATAGACTCAGTTGCTTTAGAAGACCAGAAGGACCAGGTTAGGGACAGATGGCCATGGACAAAATCTATCTATATGATTGTTAGGAGTCAACACTCACTTGATGGCACATAACCAATCAATTGATCAATAAATCTGCACATGACTTGCAAGACTGAATTGCTAATATATATTATTTGTCAGTATTGGAATTGTATATTTTGATAGAAGGAAAAAGAGGTCATTTTCTGGATTTGCTCTGCCTATGATATAAATTTACAGGTTCCCCTTTTTGATTTTGATTATGTATGGACCATTAATAAGTTATTAATTTAGGGCACTTCCAGACAATCAGTTTTTCCCTCTACAAACCTCCCTCCACCTGCTGATTCCATTTTAAAATCTGCCTGAGATTGATCAGATAAAATGCTCCTGAAATTGATCTGCACTGATTGACTATTTCCAACAACAGGATGTGACCATCATAGGCACGTGTGCACGTTTGGAGTCCACAGAGCACAAGACAGAGACATCAGCATTTTCTTCTTCTGCCGGGAGCTGAGCAGAGAGTTCTGTCAGACCACCCATGCTTCATTGCCTGTCTGCCTTGCTGTGTCTTTTCAAGCTTATCTCTAACATCCATCACCTCACAAAAATTATATATCCACTTGAGCAATTCTGCTGTTTCTTTTTTACTCAGCCTTTTGCAGGGTCCTTTTTGAGCAGATGAAATGATTATTCTTTTGAGTTCAGTATAACTAAAGGCTATTTTTGTATTTTTAGCATTCCTTGCTTGCTTCAACTCATTCAGTTTTTGCTCACCTGTCACTAGCTCCAAAGTCTCCCTTTCACTAAGTTACTTCTGCTGCCTTATTTTCTTTTCCTCATTGGGATCGTTTGCAATTTAGTATTTGCTTTCATGGACCTCCCATCCCTCTTCAGATCTTTGTCCACTAGCTTCTTCTGCTATAGAATTTGAGTTTACTATCCACCTCTTTGAGGTCCAAGAAAGCCAAACTCCAGTGTCGCACCATCACTTCCCCCCAGTTCCTTCATCAAGCTGGTTGAGTTTACCAAAAGACTTATTGTGCAATGCTGGAAGAATATATACAGTACCTGACCTGAAAAAATGGATTAAGTGCTGTTCGCTGACATCTGGTCTTTTTTCAACAAAGGGCAAGGAAGACGGCTTTTGACTTATTTAGTCAAACTTCTGGTTGTTGTTTTATGACATTTTCCAGCATATTTTTTTTCTTTTTTGCCTTTTTAGTTTGATATAGTCATTACTATAATAAAAGTCCTTAAAGTGATTTGAACTATCAATCAAAAATTTGGAAATCATTGATGTATAAAGAATGTGGGTCTATTGTGCAGGGACTCTAGCTTAAAAGATTACTCTGCTAAACTTACTTTAACATCCATTGATAACATGTTCACTTTCCATGTAGAAGCTTGTTTTCTATCAACCCAGAGGAAAAATGGGCCAACATCTGACAACCAATGCAATATTAAAAACAAAAACAACCCCCCCCAAAACCTCCAAGGGCCAGGAGAGATCAAATGGTAAAACACATTGATAGAAATGACTGACAGAACTTGAAGGCCAGTTTTGGAAGCCCTTGAAAGTGAGCTAGGAAGCTCCTGACTATCTGCTATGGGGCAATATCAAGGCCAAAGGAAACTACTTGGAACCTTGAGACTGATGCCAGCAACTCTGTGCTGAGTATGTAGGTGGGGCTACATGTAGCAAGAGCCCCTGGGATGTGATAGTCATCTTTGGTTTGAAAGAGTGGCAGTTTTTGATCAAGATGTGAGCGGGACCACGGATGGCAGTGGGAGAAAAGTTGCAGTAGCCCCCATTTACACACTGTGCACAGAATCATAGAGCTGGAAGGGACTTACCCCCGACATACTGCAGGATTCACTACACCATCCCTGAGAGATGACTCTCCAGCCTCTCTTTGAAAACCTCCAGTGAAGGAGAAGAAGCCACTCCATACAGTGTTCCTTTGAATGACAGCTTACTGTCAAGTTCTTCCTAATGTCTAATCTGTATCTGCATCCTTGAAGTTCCATCTGATTTGTTCTTGTCTCACCCTCTGGTGTGAGACAAATGAGAGGAAGTCCAAACTCTTTACAATGTGCCAGCCTTTCAGATATTTGAAGGCAGTTATCATGTCCCTCCTCAACCTTTTCTTCTGCAAGCTAAACATACCTGGTTCTTTTAATTGATCCTGATAGGACTTGGTTTCCTGTCCTTTCACCATTTGGTTAGCCCTTTTCTGGATTTGGTCCAGTTTATCAATGTCTTTTTTAAATTGGGGTGTGCAGAACTGAACACAATACTCCAAGTGAAGCCTGACCAAGGCAAAGTAGAGCAGGATAATTATTTCCTGTGAGCTGGACTCTATGCTTCTGTGATGCTCCACAAGATGTTTTTGGCCTTCTTGCAGCTGTACCACACGGTTGGGACACGTTGAGCTTGTGATCCACTAGTACACCCAAAGCTGAGCAGGTGAGGACTGTTGGAAGAGAAAGCTGGTAGAATGTAAGAACACTGATACTAAATAAGTAAAACTTGAAGAGTTTCCTATATTTCTATTGTAAAAAGATTTTTAATGCTTTGGAGCAAGTCCCACTGAACTCAGGTGGAGATAGTTTCTAACTAAAAATATTTAGGATTGTGCTATAATTTCCATGGAGTGCAATAAAACTGTACTAAATCAGCCTTTTTTTTTTTTAAGGAAAAAGATTTATTCAAAAATACCTTTCTGTGGTCTTGATAACATGGAAAAGGAACCAATATACATTTCTTACATGCATATACATTTTTTAAAAAAATTCTTAGGTCTGTAAAATTGCCCTATTTTATAGTCACATTCATCACCTTCAACTTACAGCTGTTTCCCAGCCAATAAAATACTTCATGTTCCCACAATCAAGTTCTGATGTAAAGGCACAATGTTTAACTTCCAGTTTTATTTAATTATTATTACTGTTATTCCTCCAGTTTTTCAAAATATTCATTCTGTCAATCACCCAAAGGAAAGATATGTTACTTTTTCCAGTTGGTTCCTGAAAATGTTTGCTTTTACTCATCTAAAAATTTTTCTTCTGAAATCTTTCAAAACAATATGAATTTATTCTTTTATCCTTGAAACAGGAAAGAGAACAGACTCTTGCAGCAGAAAGTCTGATCTGTATGGAGGATTACTGAGATGGCCAAAGAAAATGTGTTCTGTAACATCCTGCTTGAAAATAAAAAGGATTGATAAGTTCAACTTGAAATTCACGCACCTAAAAATACACATTCCTCAAATTAGTTTTCAGATGCATAGGTTCTTCTCTTCTATAAATTGAACATATGTGTCCATATATGCAAGTTTGTGCATGTGTGTAAAGTGAGTAGAGAGGGGGAAAAGGAGGTTATAGAAAATATTCTTAGATTTATATCCTGGCTTTTGTACAGGAATTCAGGACAGTGTACACCGTTCATCTCTTGGTGTTTGTTCTCACAACAGCACAGGTAGGTTGAGCTGAGAGAGAGCAATTGGCTAAAGTCGCCCAGGGAACTTCTGTGGCTGAAGGTGGATGAGAATCCAGGTCTCTCCACTCTTAGTCCAGCACCTCCACTATCACCCCACATCGGCTCTGGGGCTAAGAGGGAGGGATTGGCCTGGACTCATCCAGGGGGCTTCCAGGGCTGAGAGAGACCAGAACCTGAGTCTTCCCACTCCTAGTCCAAAAGCTGAATTCTGTGTTTCCCAATGAATCAAGCATAAATTGGGTTATGGTTCATTATTGAATCATGTTCAGAGAGACATGCCTCTTGATGGAATTATATTGTGAAACACAGAGGTGAGGAGAGCAGAACATTCCTGGGGAGGTGAGAGTATAAACACCCTTCTGAAAGGCGCTCAGGCAACAGGGGACATACACTCCTGCATGCCTGCTTTAATGGGGTGAAACAAACCTGAGAACAATGGGAAGTTCTAAGCAGCTCTAAGAATTCACCTATGATCAAAGGAGTGAAGATCATCTGAGGCCTGGCCAGCTATGAAGGAATGGCTAAGAGCTGGGAAAAGTCCTCTGAGAGATTCTAGTTCAGTCACTGAACACCTTCTTTCTTTTCCTCCCATTTTCCCACTGGCACCCAACCTCTATCTCTTTGTTTTCCCCCTTCTCTTAATTCTCCATATGAATCTCACAGCTATGTTAGGCAGGACCAAGTAATTGCAAGCCTGGGTGGCAAAATATGTAGAAAGGAGCTGTTTCTCACCAACCCAAAGGAAGCTGTTGTAACTGGCCATCACAAAATCAAGATCATCTTTGGCATTACAAGAAAAAGAACAGAACACAAGAGTCAGCCCTCCTCTCCAATGAAAAGAGAATCATTTCCTGGAAGCACAGTCTTAAAATCTAACTGAACAGGAACAGAACCATTACTAAAAGGAGGTTGCATATACGTTGTATGTAGCAAAGAAATAATTCAATACCCCTGGTCAACAGGCTCTGTCTGGGTTATATGCATCTACATGTTGTTTTCCTCAAAGAGAATCTGAGCATAAACAGTCACAGAAGAAACACCTTTCGCTTCCTGGTGAGGCTTCAGCAACTCCAGTTCAGCGTAGGTCAGATTCTCCTCGGCGCCTTTCAGCTGCAAAACAAAAGGGGAATCTGAATTCACTGAGTGAGGGACCTTCTGCCTTTCAGCCTACCACACTGAGGCAACAATTACTGTAGCACAGATCAATGGCATGAACATAATCCAACAAGGCCCCCAAGCCAGGCTTTCCCCATTACAAATGAATCCTTGTGCAACCAGTTACTAAAACGTAAGATAGGCTCAAGAAAGTGGGAAGCATTGGGAATGCAATGTTAGACAGATTTCCTCAGAAGTAAGTCACACTAGTTTCAAATCAACTTTATATGCCAATGATATTATGGCTTCTTTTGATAATTATGTAAAGTTATTACCAAAGCTTGTTGAAGTTAGACAGCAGTATGGTTTATATCTGGCTACACTACACTTACTAATTAAAGTATATAACTTCTTGTTTTTGGGATCTACTATAGCTATAGATTAAGAGCCAGTGTGGCATAGTGGGTAGGGTCCTGGACTACAAACTAGGAGACCATGAGTGGAAGCCAAAAGCGTGACTTAGGCCAGTCATTTAGCCCAACTCACCTCACAGAGTGGCTGTTATGGGGAAAATGGGAGGAAGGGGCATTATGTACCGCATCTAAGAGTAAAAATAAAGGCAGGATATAAATCAAATAAATAAATCCATAAATATTATAAAGGTATTATAATCCTTGGGATTAATACTTTAAATAAGTTGATTTTTAATGGCTGTTTTAAAGATTTTGAGAGATTATCTTTTGACTCTGACTTGCCTTCAATATATGCTTGGCAATGTATTCACCTAAAATGCACTATCTAAACAGTACGGCCTGGATGCCTTAGCAACCTCAAAGATACCCATGATTTTAGCTTCTTTAAGAGATGTTTTGCTTGAATGGAAACCAACAATTCGATTTTATAATAAATATAGTAAGGTATTAAAAAGTGAAATAAAAGTTAGTGTAGCTAGAGGTTTGATCTGTGGAAGGAAAAACTGGAATATCCAATTTTGGAAAATCAATGCTTCCTGGAATTTAAAAAATATGAGATACTTATGATTTAAAAGTGATATTAATTCAAATCTACTGGACCCCTAAAAGTACGTTTAAAAAGGTATGGATATTAGACTTGTTAAGGTGAAGATGTAAGATATCTGAAGGTTCTTTAACACACATTTAGTCTTGTTCTGTTATACCCTTGTTTTGGCTTCAAATTAACATGTATGCTAATATAATTTTGGGAAGAAATACTGTATTTTAAGATCTCAATGTGCTGTTGAATTATACTCCTAAAATATGGAATTTGCCAACTTATTCAACCTTTGGGTGAAACTGAACACTCACTCTTCTGATTTGCAAGGACTGGATCCCAGATATGAGCTTGTTCTCCATTTTTGAAAAGTCTCTATGCTCGAAAAACGAGAAGATTAACATTATGTTGCTACATGCTGCAGATTTAATATATACACGGTGGATGTGAATGCAATAATAAGTAGAATTTTTCCATCTAGTTTTGTAGTAGGTAATCCTTTGATGTGGAGAGGATGAGAAGCTGTAAAAATAATAGAACATTCTGTGTTTTGAAACACACTACAGTGAAATCTAATTTTAATGGGCTATTTGCGGGAGGAGTGTCTGTTACATCTGAATGTCCATTAAATATGAAAGTATGTCATTGTGGCAATTTATGTCATTTGTGTAATGATATCATAATATAAGCCATTCAAATGTTGTTGTGGGTTAAAAAAAAATCAACAATGCTTTCTGAATTTTCCATTTTATTCAGTATGTGGGGCACAAAAAATATTCAACCAGTGTTTCAGCTCTCCTTGAAATGGTACAATCTCCATACAGTCCCCATGTCAAGGTCAAGGGTGGGTTGGAAACCTTCTGCCAGACAGATCCTCCTTCTGCCTTGGCAATTCCCCTTTTTCATGCCATCCTGTTCATTCATCTAAGTCTCTCCTTGCAGCCCAAAGTGCATGACTCAGACACAGCTTGCCACCTCAGTGGGAAAGAGGCCCGAAATATAAGGAATGACACTTAAACATGCCCGAGTGGCTTCTGAAGTCCACGTTTGGGGCATGGAGCCCATTAGCTGTTGCCACTTACCCTTGGAGGCATTTGGATTTCACATCAAATAAAACAGGCATTTAGTTATAATTCTCATTCAAATTCCAGCCAAAACATGATGAATCCTGAAATGGCACAGTTACACCCAGCTCATGTAAATTTTAGAGCTAAGATTTATGAAATTACATTGTCCAGGTGTATTATTATGTTATCTGGAAATTGCATTGTTTTCTTGGGTAGATTATATCTTTATTCCTTCTTTATTCTATTAAGTTTGGATATGAAAAATAACACTTGATTCCTCCAATACAGGTCACTGGGCAGCACTGGCTGATGTGTTACTTTCATACATTTTTATGATGTTCCTATAGTAAACATAATTTAATAAAGCCAAAACACACTAAATAAATAATTGCATCTAGAAAAGCAATAAAAGCAAATAAAATTAGTACTTTCATAAGTGGAAAAGGTACTTCAATTACCGCTACAAGCAACGGCGCACCATAAAATGTGTAGAATAATTTCCCTTATGCATATTTCCAGTATGTAATAATTTGATTGAAAATATGAGGAAACACACAGGAGGTTCAAAATTGTTGTGCACATACAGTTCTCAACTATGTGTAATAACTGAACATAGAAGATACGGTTTTCCAAAGGCCTTTTTCTAGGCAGAAATCTGAGGCTGTGCAAACTCTGCATCTTTGGTTATCATTTACAAGTTTGGGTAGCTGAAAATAGAGTTTCTAACATTAGAAACAACAGTAAGAAAATCTTACATGTGCCATATATGCTTTCTACCTGAACAGTGAATATCTCCAGTTACAGGATATTCAGCATATTCAACTAAAACAAAATGGTGACCCAGGAAAATATTGCTGGATAATTTAAGGCACTGGGGGATCTAACAGGGGTTTAAGAAGAAAAGTCTTCCTCCTGCTTTGAACAAGGGTCTTGAAATAAAATAGTTGGCTCAGAAATGAGGAATCAGAGTCTCGAAACTGTCAACCTCTATGGTTAGTGAGTACACAGAATCAGAATAAATTAGAACTGATTCAATGTGATCAAGACAGTGGGAAGGGTTACAAAAAGGCCATCAACGAGCATCCCCCTCAGTGCCAAACTCACTGCTAATTTCCCAAATATGTCATGGGTATATTTTGTATTCTTCCACATTTAATCCACTGGATGGCCATTTTGGACAAGGAACTGTAAAGTTTCTAAGGAACTACATGAGTGTTATACCCCAAGAGGGATGCCATATTGTCATAAACCTGATTTTTTCCTGTTTTTATGGTAGAGCTTTTAAGCAATCATGGCTTCTGCACACTGCTGAGCATGATGTGCTTCAGAGCTGTGGTACAATCGGTTTTAGCTTGGGTTTTGTTTGATGAAGCTAAGAGAAGGTACATACTATTTATAGAAGGGGAATCAAGCAGGACCTTTCCCCTTCACCCTTATGAGTAACTGAAGAATTATGAAAACAACTATTCTCTAACAAGTTCTAGTTGTGAAATTTACTACCAGGATGACAAATACTAAGCAAAAGAAGAAGGAAAGGTGACTCTTGATTTCTGTTTTTTTGCACTGGGAATGGTTTTTCCACAATGCACATGAACAAAATAGCAGTGATCATCATCATCAACATCATCATCATCTATTTATTCAATTTATATAGTCATCAATTTCACATATGCAATTCTGGGCAGCTCACAAACATGCAAATATATATAAATATATATATATATATATACACACACACACAACACACAGTACTATGCAAAAGCTTTAGGCAGGTGTGAAAAAATGCTGTAAAGTAAGAATGCTTTCAAAAATATATATTGTAATTGTTGATCAATTTACAAAATGCAAAGTGAGCAAACAAGAAAAATCTAAATCAAATCAATGTTTGGTGTGACCACCCTTTGGCTTCAAAACAGCATCAATTCTTACACTTGCACACTTTGTACACTTGCACAAAGTCAGGAATCTTGTAGGATTAGAGTCAGGTGTATGATTAACCAATTATACCAAGCAGGTGCTAATGATCATCAATTTCATATGTAAGTTGAAACAGCTGTGTAGGAGAAATCAATGTTTGGTGTGACCACCCTTTGGCTTCAAAACAGCATCAATTCTTACACTTGCACACTTTGTACACTTGCACAAAGTCAGGAATCTTGTAGGATTAGAGTCAGGTGTATGATTAACCAATTATACCAAGCAGGTGCTAATGATCATCAATTTCATATGTAAGTTGAAACAGCTGTGTAGGAGGCTTAAAACTGGGTGAGGAACAGCCAAAAGCTGCTACTAAGGTGAGATTGTGGAAGATACTTTTGTGTCACAGGTCATACACCAT